ATCCAATTGACAGCGTGCGCGGCCCTTTCCACAAAGTCACCAGTTGCAATTGGTTGCGAATGGGAAAATCGGTGGAGAAACTAGCGAATCCAAGCAAGCTTACGAAGCAAGTTTGTGAAGGCCACGTGCACGGCTGCATGTGAACAGCCCGGCGTTCACCGCGCGCCAAGATTGTCCTTTTTGCCGCACACCTGACCCGAGCAAATGGCGCCAATGTGTTTGTAGGACTTTAGAGTCTGTGGCCTCTTGGGGTTCGCCGTACTTATTTTGCCGCACACCTGACCCGAGCAAATGGCGCCAATGTGTTTCTAGGACGAACCCTCTCTTCAGAGTCTGTGGCCTCTTGGGGTTCGCCCTACTTATTTGGAAGCAGCCTGGAAGCACGTTGACATGAATATGCTGAGCACACTCGACCAAACAAAAGGGCGCACGAACATCCGAACAGAGTCCTAATTTTTTTCCCAAAAGCATCTCTGATGCTTGGGTTCTGCTTTAGGTTTTCTCTTAAGGTGCCTGGGAGCGATACAAGCTGTGACGACGGAGATAAGAAGGGATTTCCATTTCGTTGTGCTGCAGACCGGGCGTGCGATGCCGGCTGGGGGTGCAGACCGGGCGTACGAGGCTGGCTGGGGGGACGGCGGTGTGGGGCTGGCTGGTGGGACGGCGGTGTGGTGCAGACTGGGTGCGCGAGGCTGGCCCGCGAGCGAGAGAGACTGGCGCGCTCAGGACATGCGGAAACCGCCCGCGAGCGAAAAATGGTGACATGCGGAAACCGCCCGCGAGCGAAACTGGCGCGGTGGACGCTCGTGACATGCGGAAACCGCCCGCGAGCGAGACTGGCGCGGTGGAACATGCGGAAACCGCCCGCGAGCGAGACTGGCGCGGTGGACGCTCGTGACCTGTGGAAACCGCCCGCGAGCGAGACTGGCGTGGTGGACGCTTGTGACATGGAGAAACCGCCCGCGAGCGAGACTGGCGCGGTGGACCCTCGTGACATGCGGACGGTGGAACATGCGGAAACCGCCCGCGAGCGAGACTGGCGCGGTGGACGCTCGTGACCTGCGGAAACCGCCCGCGAGCGAGACTGGCGTGGTGGACGCTCGTGACATGGAGAAACCGCCCGCGAGCGAGACTGGCGCGGTGGACATGCGGACACCGCCCGCGAGCGAGACTGGACTGGCGCGGTGGACGCTCGTGACATGCGATACTGGCGCGGTGGACGCTCGTGACATGCGGAAACCGCCCGCGAGCGAGACTGGCGCGGTGGACGCTCGTGACAGGCGGAAACCGCCCGCGAGCGAGACTGGCGCGGTGGACGCTCGTGACATGCGGAAACCGCCCGCGAGCGAGACTGGCGCGGTGGACGCTCGTGACACGCGGAAACCGCCCGCGAGCGAGGTGGACGCTCGTGACAGGCGGAAACCGCCCGCGAGCGAGACTGGCGCGGTGGACGCTCGTGACATGCGGAAACCGCCCGCGAGCGAGACTGGCGCGGTGGACGCTCGTGACATGCGGAAACCGCCCGTGAGCGAGACTGGCGCGGTGGACGCTCGTGACAGGCGGAAACCGCCCGCGAGCGAGACTGGCGCGGTGGACGCTCGTGACATGGGGAAGCCGCCCGCGAGCGAGACTGGCGCGGTGGATGCTCGTGACATGCGGAAACCGCCCGCGAGCGAGAGGCGCGGTGGACGCTCGTGACATGCGCAAACCGGCGCGGTGGACGCTCGTGACATTCGCAAACCGCCCGCAAGCGAGACTGGCGCGGTGGAACGCTCGTGACATGCGAAAACCGCCTGCGAGCGAGACTGGCGTGGTGGACGCTCGTGACATGCGGAAACCGCCCGCGAGCGAGACTGGCGCGGTGGACGCTCGTGACATGCGGAAACCGCCCGTGAGCGAGACTGGCGCGGTGGACGCTCGTGACATGCGGAAACCGCCCGCGAGCGAGACTGGCGCGGCGACACTGGACGCTCGTGACATGCGGAAACCGCCCGCGAGCGAGACTGCCGCGGTGGCTTGTGACAGGCGGAAACCGCCCGCGAGCGAGACTGGCGCGGTGGACGCTCGTGACAGGCGGAAACCGCCCGCGAGCGAGACTGGCGCGGCGGCTCGTGACAGGCGGAAACCGCCCGCGAGCGAGACTGCCGCGGTGGACGCTCGTGACATGCGGAAACCGCCCGCGAGCGAGACTGGCGCGGTGGACGCTCGTGACATGCGGAAACCGCCCGCGAGCGAGACTGGCGCGGTGGACGCTCGTGACATGCGGAAACCGCCCGCGAGCGAGACTGGCGCGGTGGACGCTCGTGACATGCGGAAACCGCCCGCGAGCGAGACTGGCGCGGTGGACGCTGGCTCGTGACATGCGGAAACCGCCCGCGAGCGAGACTGGCGCGGTGGACGCTCGTGACATGCGGAAACCGCCCGCGAGCGAGACTGGCGCGGTGGACGCTCGTGACAGGCGGAAACCGCCCGCGAGCGAGACTGGCGCGGTGGACGCTTGTGACATGCGGAAACCGCCCGCGAGCGAGACTGGCGCGGTGGACGCTCGTGACATTCGGAAACCGCCCGCGAGCGAGACTGGCGCGGTGGACGCTCGTGACATGCGGAAACCGCCCGCGAGCGAGACTGGCGCGGTGGACGCTTGTGACATGCGGAAACCGCTTGGGAACGCCAGCGTTGACATGAATATGCGCTGAGCACACTCGGCCCAAACAAAAGGGTCGCATGAACATCCGAACAGCTGACCCCGGTCTACGCAGATCGTGGTAACACTGTGTCTCAGACTTGTTTCGCCCACCAAGTGACCGAGGCTTGTCCACACCGAGCCCCCCGCAAAAGCGCAGCGCCGGCCCCGTCTCCACACCGGCGAATCCACCCAACTTGCCATCCACACGCATCCAATTGACAACGTGTGCCGCCCATTCCACAAAGTCACCAGTTGCAATTGGTTGCGAATGGGAAAATAGGTGGAGAAACTAACGAATCCAAGCAAGCATACGAAGCAAGTTTGTGAAGGCCACGTGCACGGCTGCATGTGAACAGCCCGGCGTTCCAGGCACGCCAAAATTGTCCTTTTTGCCGCACACCTGACCCGAACAAATGGTGCCAATGTGTTTCTAGGACGAACCCTCTCTTCAGAAGCTGTGGCCTCGGGGTTCGCCCTACTTATTTGGAAGCAGCCTGGAAGCACGTTGACATGAATATGCTGAGCACACTCGGCCCAAACAAAAGGGCGCATGAACATCCGAACAGCTGACCCCGGTCTACGCAGATCGTGGTAACACTCTGTCCACCAAGTGATCGAGGCTTGTCCACACCGAGCCCCCCGCAAAAGCGCAGCGCCGGCCCCGTCTCCACACACCTGCGGCGAATCCACCCAACTTGCCATCCACACGCATCCAATTGACAACGTGCGGGGCCCTTTCCACAAAGTCACCAGTTGCCATTGGTTGCGAATGGGAAAATAGGTGGAGAAACTAACGAATCCAAGCAAGCTTACAAAGCAAGTTTGTGAAGGCCACGTGCACGGCTCCATGTGAACAGCCCGGCGCTCCAGGCACGCCAAAATTGTCCTTTTTGCCGCACACCTGACCCGAACAAATGGCGCCAATGTGTTTCTAGGACGAACCCTCTCTTCAGAGTCTGTGGCCTCTTGGGACTCGCCCTACTTATTTGGAAGCAGCCTGGAAGCACGTTGACATGAATATGCTGAGCACACTCGGCCCCAACATAAGGGCGCATGAACATCCGAACAGCTGACCCCGGTCTACTCAGATCGTGTTGTAACACTGTGTCTCAGACTTGTTTCAGATGGGTGTAGAGCGAGCTTATGCCTTGCTTCAAATTTGGGAGTGGTAGTTTGTGCGGATCCATTTTCGGATTTCTGCGATTGGTTCTTCATGATGAATCGGATGACTTCGTGCCTTGCATGTAGTGCGGGGCCTGTCATGTTTCACCCGTGCCTTTGCCATTTTCTCTGTGCTTGGTCAGAGCACAGGCTGCTGGCTGCCAATCCGGCTTGAGTCGCGGTTGCTCCCTGTTTTGGGGTTGATTTCCCAACTGTGAACAACTTAAATCTTGGTTTGCCTTCGGACCCTTGAGCCGGAAAACAACGGGATCCACATGCCGTGGGGAGTTAGGCTGGTTTGCTTTTGGGTTCCCGGGCTCCTCTTGTTTGGAAGATAGATGGCCCTGGTAGATGACTGAACCACCAGGTAAACCAGGGCCCTCTTTGTTTAAGCAAACCAACCAAAAAGGACACCTATGTACACCAAGATCAGCCCAGATTTGCCATGCTGCATGCCCCACTGAGTAGCTATTGTTAGCTTGGAGTGCCCATCTTGTTGTGTCATGCATACGTCACCAACTCAAGACTGCAAAATCAGCACACCGAGATGAAAGTTGATCCATCAAAGGCAAACTCGAAGGTTGGGCAATCTATTACTACAGGCTGATAGTCATCTCACTGGACTGAATGGCTGAGCTAAAGGATGCGCAAACATGTTCATATGCATATACATGTACATATACATGTGCCTACAAAAAAAAATGCACATATATCTATATATATATATATATATATATGCATGTGTATATATATATATATATATATATATATATATCCACATAGGCGAACAAGTGCCCTTGCACATGAGCCAACCAGCATCTGACACTGCCTCTCTTTGCAGGGTAGAAGCATCACGAGTCCGGCATTATTCTCAGAACATACGATGAGAAGTTCCATCTTGGCGGCTGGATATTCCCGATTAGACCGCTCGAGGTCTGATTTCTGGTCAGTCAGACTGCGTGCTCCGTCGCCTAACCGCAGCATCAAATGGCCATGGGTCAAAATCCAAATCGTACCCCCAGTGAACATCCCAATCCTCACTCAAATAGGTTCTAAAACGGGCGGTGAATTCACCTACCACCAAAATGGGATCCCATTGGTGTTGGCCCAAGGCCAAATCGCTACTCTCAGCCGCGGATGCTAGGCTCTGCACGGTTCTTTGAAACCGCCAGTGTGTAGCATCAGCATCTCGGGGCAGCTTCTGGAAAACCTCCCGAAACGGCCGTGCAGACCGCTGCAAGCGGGTGTTTCACCATGGAAACTGGATGTCTTCATCTGAAGAGTGCTGCTCGCTTGGCAAAAACTTTTCTGTCTCCACCTCAAAACACGCAGCCTGCCAGACCCAACTGGCAAGGGTCAACAGCTCTCTTTTCAACGCTCAGCATGAAAGACCATACTGTGGCTCCATAGGCCTCTGCAAAGGCTATGCGGTTTGGGGACATGACGCCCCCGCCTTTGAGCATCTAGTGCAGTCAATGCAATTCTTTGCAAACTGCCTACAGTGCAGAAGCTCCTGAGTTGTCCAGGATCCAATGAGGATACATTCAGAACTCTGCACACCGCCCCCTCTACGGGGGACATTCAACGCGGGTATTTGGGTGTGGCTCCAAAAACCGGAATTTCAAAATGGGTTGCCCTGGCAAGTGGAAACATGGACCAAAACCTGCGGTTTGCACTTGCGATCGTTTCATTTTGAGCCACACCCATTCACAGCGGGCTCTTGGGCGGTAGCTGGAAGAACCCCGGCGCCCAACGCTTCACCACGAGGCGCTCCCCGTCGGGCGGCAGCTCCAGGATGCGCAGCTTCTGCCGCGTCTCCAGCGTCACGTCGCTGTGACTGCTCGCTCCGCGCCGGGGCTTCTTGGGCGTGAAGTTGCTGAAGGCCCCCGCGCGGAACTCCGCGGGTAGGAAGCTGTCCAGCCGAGACTCCACCTTCTGCCTGATAGAATAAGGCCACCCGTTGGTTTAAACGTGTTTCAACCACTGGTGATGATTCTTCCCTTGTAAAGGTGGTGTTTAAACCATGTTTTGCCCCACCCAGCTGCCTGGGAAGGCCTGGGTAGTAGCCCAGCTTGGAGGCCAACTTGGCCAGGCGCCGCTCCCGATCCGAGCGCTCCCCCCAGCCCCCGGCAATGGTGACGTGATGCAAAGAGGGTTGGCTCGACGCTTTCACGCGTTCGTTCCGCAAGGGCGCCTCCTCGACGAAGCGCCAGCGCGACCTTCCTCCCACAAACTCCACTTGCAGCGGCTGCTCCGGGCGTCGTTGACAGATCGCGGATATGGCGCGGCTGACCGAAGGTATGCGGCTGGAGTCCGTGAGTGACAGCACCTGCGGCTGATTCATGCCGACTCTCGCCTTTGGCGGAAAGTCAGATCAAACTTCCTACGAAGGACATGAGAGGCTTCGCTGCCTGGTCTTGAGCAATCGAAACCTGGCTGAACGGATTTCAGCTGTGGCTTGGTCTTTGTCCTTGCAATGATACCTCACAAGCTGACGTACACCAATGCCCATATGGTGGCCAGTCATATGGCCATGGGGCATAACCTATGACTGAGTTTTGGGGTGGATGAATATCCATTTGCCTCCTATTTTGATGTTCACCAGGGTACAGGGTTTTGGCCCACAGCCATACACTGTTGCAATCGCAAAGCTTGCAGCACGAGAATAGGTTTCAGAGTGCCCCTGAATGCATGCCACTCTCCTGCTCCGTGAACGGCCGGCAGCTTGACATCATCCAGTAACTTTCCTGCACATGAAGGAAAATCCATCTGCTGGGCGACATGCCTCTGTGCGTGTAAAGGCAGGAACAACAAGGCCTAAAGCGCTGACCAGCAATCGATATCTAGTCCATGGAAAGCTAAACACAATATATATATATATATTGAAGGAAAAGATTACATTTTCCGGCGATACAAACCGGACAACTGATCAGAGTCCCACCAATCAGAGTGAAAATCGTTTGGCAGTTGCTTGGCCAGGAGAGCACCATGACTCACCTCCTCTGACAGTAGGTGCAGCCCCAAACAGCGGCATTGACAATGCTGACAAAGGCAAACCAATCGAATAGCCCGAGTTTCTCCCTGATGCTACAAATGCGTCATACTGAGACTCACTGAGCACGCAAGTGCAAAGATGTTCAGATGATTCGGCACACCTCCGAGAAGCTCGAAGTCACGTCGTGTTCTAACCTGAAGCAAGAGCATCTTGCCATCATATTTGTCAAAGCTTGTAATCAGGATGGCGGTAGACCCTGCAAAAGGAATCCGCAACATGGAGGTCCAAGATTCAATGACTGCTTGCCCAACAGTCTGGTCAAAACATGGAGACACGCAGCATGCACCGCCCAGATGTTGGCACAACGCCAAATTGCAGGCACAGCGTGGAGTTTTGCATTGGCGGTTTGTACAGTGGTGTCTGTCGAAGAAAGCAAAGAGCAGCAAACAAATCCAAGCTGGGACATGCCAACACAAACAAGCCCAGCTGCAAGCCGGTGAGCAAGCATCAACCAAACACGGCATCTTGTACTGGAAGCAAACACGGGTGATGACTTGAAATAACTTGTGGAACATGTCCAGCTAAGGCTTTCACGTCAATCCTCTGAGAACGTCATCTGGTTCTCGATAATAATCCCCAGGCAAAGGTACCTTGGGAACCAGAGCATGGCACGAATGGCAGCTACGAGCTGCAAGCTGCGAGCGGACATTTCAAAGCGCCGAACATCTAGCAGTGGAGCAGAGGTAAGACCTCAAGCCTCAAAATGGAAAGCTTCCTCTCACCGGGAGTCTGCAAGGCCGCATACAGTCCTCCATCGCCCTCTGACACTATGGCAGGACAGCAAATCCACATGCGCGAGACCGCAATGGGTGGAAGGATGAGATCGTGGCAATATGGCAGCATGTGCCACTGAGAGGCCTCGCTCGGAGACAGCAGCTTGTCTCTCAAGAAGGCGGAAGGCCTCTCTCAGGACAAGCTGCCTGCCGTTTTGGGCAAGCCAAGATGCAACTACAGCTGTCACTATTGATCAACATGCATCTGACAATAGCTGCATTTGTTGCTAGAAATGATGTGTCCTGGGCCCTCGGTGCAATTGAACTCAGAAAAAGAGCTCTCGTTCTGGGCTCACACAAAGCTCTACATCAGGTGCAGGAACATGGACCTCCTGACCTTTTGCGTTCGCTCGCTGAATCGTACCATCGAAGCACACGAGTCCGGCGCAGGTCCGGAAGAGTGCTTGACGAGCATACCGCATACCCAAACAAAGGGGCTATGTGGCTGTGGCTCAAAAATCCGGTACCCAAAATGGAACCCTGGCAAGTGGAAACATGGACGTAACCCCTCCCGTTTAATTTTGAGCCACAGCCATGTGCGCAAGCGACTCTCAAGCGGCTGAACAGCCTACCTGACATCTCGACATCTTCTCCAGACCGGCACTGGCACGCCATCTCTTGTGCCATCACATCGGGACATCTCACGGCATGCGCACTTCTGGACAAGCAGGGCTCGACGTGCCAAGGCAGAGACAGGGAGAACCTTTGCCTATTCGCTTGTAACAGCCTTAGAACATCCTCAGGGAACAATGCAGCGGTTTGACCCAAGTGCACAGATCCGTCGTGGCTTTGCTGCGGTTTGACCCAAGTCCGCAGTTGCCTGATGGTATAACTGTGAGTCCTGCGAAATCTTGCGAGATCCGTCTCATTTGGCGGCATGTTGGTCAACTCGGCAAATGCACCCTTGACGTAGTTGACAAGCTCATCATGTTTAAAATGGTCTTGAATTGTCGTTGACCTCCGGCATTGAATTTGAGTCCAGTGGAGTCTAGCCTGAATCCATGTTGATCCCAGTGCTCTCAACGTACATCGACTTCCTTCCCTCAATGTTCTTCATGTCGACAAGGCCATTCCAGGTCTGGTAGGCTTCTGACATTCCAAGTTTGGAAAGAAACCAGGCTTTCAAATACTGTTGATGGACGAACTCCTGCACCAAGAGACCCCAGAATGGTGATTCCACTGCCAATACCAACAAACCATGGCTTCTCATGGGGTTCTTGCGTGGTGCAGGAATTCGTCCATCGCCAGCATGAATTGGCCGAAGTGGGCCGAAGTTCTCTGTGAGCGTTTCATTTGTACAGTCAACTGTTCTTCTTGCGATGCTCGTTCCTCCGTCCACTGGCGCCAGGCAGCCAGGGCCCCAGTTGATCTGCGCCATGACAAGGCGGCCAGACTTTGTGCGCGAAGCTTCGCTGCCTGATCCATGCGGCTGTACTGGACTGAACATGACCAAAGCGCCTGGCTGCAGATCAAGGACCATGCAAACACCAGATATATGTTATTCTCTTGCACCGAGTGAGGGGGAAGTACTGAAGCTGTATTGAAGTTTTTAGCACCAGAGAATGCATCTCTCAATGGCAGCATCTTGTCAGCCTCCCAACAGCCCGCTCAGCTAGCTGACTCGGTCAGACGCGAAGGCGCCGCCCTCACCTGGGCGGTGAAATCAATCAAGTCATCCGCTCTCGACTCGGTCGAAAAGTGATTTATTTAGGTTGTTATTTTATATTAAAAAAGTAGATATATATGGGTTTGTATTTTTTTAGGGTGGCCGGGCAGGAAGGTTTGAGTACGGGGTATGATTCGCAGGTATGATTCGCGGGTATGATGCGGGGTATGATTCGGGGGTATGATTCGCGGAAGCAGCAGCAGCAGTAGTAGTAGTAGCAGTAGTCGCCGAAGTAGTAGTACTAGTAGTAATATTGTAGTAGTAGTAGTAGTAGTAGTAGTAGTAGTAGTAGTAGTAGTAGTAGTAATAGGTAGTAGTAGTAGTAGTAGTAGTAGTAGTAGTAGCAGCAGCAGCAGTAGTAGTAGTAGTAGTAGTAGTTAGTAGTAGTAGCAGTAGTTGTTGTTGTTGTAGTAGTAGGAGTAGCAGTAGAAGGAGTAGTAGTAAATAGTAGTAGCAGTAGTCCTAGTAGTCCTAGTAGTAGTAGTAGTAGTAGTAGTAGTAGTAGTAGTACTAGTAGTCGTAGTAGTAGTAGTAGTAGTAGTAGTAAGAGTAGAAGCAGCGACTATAGTGGCGCGGAAGCTTTGAAAAGACTTGGCGCTGGCCTTGGCAAGGCAAATTCATTGCGCGGGTATGATTCGGGTATGATTCGCGGGTATGATTCGGCTAGGTGCAAAACGGCACTGATTACAAACTCGTAGTAGCTGTGGTAGTAGTAGTAGTAGTAGCAGTAGTAGTGGTAGTAGTAGTAGTAGCAGTTGCAGAAGTAGTGGTAGCAGCTGTAGCATAAGCAGCAGCGACTGTAGTGGTGCGGACGCTGTGAAAAAGACTTAGCACTAGCCTTGGCAGGGGAAGCTCATTGTCCGGGTATGATTCGGGTATGATTCGCGGGTAGATTCGGCTAGGTGCAAAACGGCACTGATTACAGACTCAGAATGATGTATGTGGTAGTAGTGAGTAGTAGCAGCAGCAGCAGCAGAAGCAGGAATAGTAGTAGTAGAAGTAGTAGTAGTAGTAGTAGTAGTAGTAGTAGTAGTAGTAGAAGCAGTGGAGTCGTAGTAGCAGCGGTGGTAGCGGTGGTAGTATACGGTAGTGGCAGTAATACTCGTAGTCGCGGTAGTAGCAGTAGTAGTAGTAGTAGTAGTAGTAGTAGTAGTGGTAGTAGCAGTAGTAGTAGTAGTAGTAGTAGTTGGAGTACTAGTAGTAGTAGTAGTAGTAGTAGTAGTAGTTGGAGTACTAGTAGTAGTAGTAGTAGTAGTAGTAGTAGTGGCAGTGGTAGTGGTAGTATTGGGTAGCGCTGGTGGTGGTTGTTGTGGAGACAGTGAACAACACAAAACGGTAGAAGAACATTAGCATCTTGCAGCATACGTTTTAAGGGGTATGATTCGGGGGTATGATTCGGGGTATGATTCGGGGGTATGATTCGGGGGTATGATTCGGGGGTATGATTCGGGGAGGTCCCACCTTCTGCCTTTTGAAGCAACTCAACACACCAAAAAAAGACAAACCCATATGGTGGAAGTGCGGCACCCAGCGAGACAGAAGTCAAATTTCTTCTGATCAAGATAGCATGCTCATGGTCTGACATGAGCAAAAAGCAAACACGGGAAGGCCGGCACTCAGCCCAAAGCCAAGGTGCCTAGTGTATATGGTGCGCCCAGGTCATGTGGAGCTTCCGAAGCTACAATATCATGAAACCCTCACCGATAAACATACAGCAAAGGTTGGCTGTTCAAAGTGCAGGAACTAGAATGGCTTGCATGTTGGAGCTGAAGGATGCCGAGCACAAGGATTCTTCTGTCGCGCAGTTTACGTGTTGCGCAACCCAGGCTGTGCTGGGCTTAGGTGAGCCCAAGACGCATTGAGATCCCAAAAGCCGACCATAGGAGACTCCCATGTCACGTCTGGCTGTAGATCCTTCCCGAGCCGAATCCAAAGGCCACAAAGAAGCCAAGCGCGGGCAAAAACCAAGTCAAAACATAGAAGAATCTAGGGGTACCTTCCATGTCCATTCTTTCCAGGGATCCGAATCTTTTCAGGAAACCATCGAAAACCCAGGTTGGAAACAGATCCGGTGATTGGAAAGAACGATGGTTGAAAAGAATGGGGAATAAACCCCTAGAAAGAACCATAGGCCAGCAACGCAAAGCAGCAGACAGGCGTTGCTTACACGCGTGCGATTAAAAAACAAATAAAGTGCAAAAGTCAAACGGATTTGAAAGAAGGGAGTGGAAACCAAAGAATCAAAAGAAGGACAGAGGCGTTGCAAAAGCCAAGACGCCCGAAGCCAAAAGGTCAAGGCCATAAGGCGCATTGCAAGCATTCTGAGGGGGACAACCCATGCAGCATGCCACCACTAAGGCTCCAGCAGTCTTCCCCTAGAATGTTCAACATCCAAGGGATGCAGCCGTGGGATGATGTGCCTGAAGGCACTGCAGCCCCCACACTCCAATCGTCCACGCACTTCGGTTTTCGGGAGTTGGCGAATGAGAACTGGATTCGAGTCACCAAAATTCGAGTGCTACCTTCCCCATTCTGAACCCAGGGATCCGAATCTTTCTAGAAAACCTCCGGGAACCCAGGGAAACGGCCGGTTTTCGAAAAGAAGGATGGGTTGGAAAGAATGGAGAAGGAATCAAACCGTAGAAAAATCTCTCAGTGCATCTCACCGTCTCAGGTCCACACGTGGGCGAGTTTGCCCAGTCGCTTCCACTGACCGCTGGACTGGAGGCTGAGTTTGTGTTCCAATCGGAGACAAGGCGGGCGGCAACGAGAGAACCGTTGGGAAGCCGTAGAGATCGTCACGGAGGCCCTCCCTACTACAGCATGTTTGCTGTATCTCATGGAGTTTGAAACAAAGCAACGTCATTCGCACATGTTAGGCAGAAAAAGGCCCTGCCAAAGAATCTATCGCCAAACCACCAAGTCGGGCAACGCCCAATTCACCTTGTGCTGCGTACAGCTCCCGGACAACTCTAAGCTACATTGGAATTGCCGAGGCCGCCATTGGGAAAGATTTGCGCTATTTCTGCTTCGGGGCCCTCTGGGTCACTTTGGTCCCAGTGCATTTGTGTGCGCGGTCCGGCATGTCGGAGATTCGCTGCTCACTACGTCTTGTTGATTTCGGCTCCATGTTCATCTATTACAGCAATGGTTTGCCTCCCTGGGCCTGCCGAAACAAGTGTGGTTTTGCTTCAGAGCCTGTGTTCTCAAAAGGTACGGGCTCCTGCCGCGTGCCGCAATTTAGTCACGTTGTCGGACACCCAAGAACCACAGGCATCAACTCAACCTGTACGAGGCTTTGCAACTCGACCCAAGTCAGTCGGAGAAGCCTGTGCTCAGCTCACATCCAACAAGCCCAGACTCTCAGTGCCCGCTCATCCGCCCGATAGAGAGAAACAGAATGGAGAAATGGAACTACATGGTCCGTTGTTTCATCTTGCTGAACTGCCATCCGACTGGTCCTCGTGAATGCTTCAAAGCTAGGCGCTCTATTTGCCCCGCATCGCATTTGCGTCGGGGAGTCATAATGAAGAGATAGAGCGGCACATCTCCTGCTGGAGTGTTGAATTGAGTCCGTCTAGAGCAAGCGACGTGCGACGAGTTGCAATCTGAGGCCAACTCATTGGAGAACCCGGCAACAATTACCTCATGAGACTTGCTCCTACACATGACCCCGATGCAATCAGGCAAACAACGTTGCCCAAAGCAAACAATGACGATGCACACACCCTGCCTACCACCACGCAGCGTCTGCGTCTTGTCGTGCCTTCGTCAAGTAGAAGCACCTCCGAACGGGCAAAGATCCAGAAAGGCCTGAGACTCTGGGTGTACGTCCAGAAATGTCAATGCAAAGCTTCAAGTCCATTGTCCAGATTCCCGATCAACCGGTTGCATTCCCCAACTGCCTGAGAAACATGCAGCCATCTTGACATCCCGTGGCCAGACCGAACAGCTCGGATTGTGCCTGAGGCGCTCGGATTCACCAATCTGCATGAGGCTCTTAGGTCACTGACCAGAAAAATGCCTAGTTCTGGGGTGTCTCTTATCACAGGGACCCCTATAATTTGCCCTTCGGTGTCCTTTCAACCATCCCAAAACGGGTACCCTGGCTTGGGCTCTCGCGTTGTCCTCTTCAGCACCGGAGACCAAGGCCCGAAAGTTGGCATCGCAGCAGTTGAGCGAAAACACCTGAGACAGCAACTTGCAAGAGTGCAAAAACATGGCCAGAATCCAAACAGCTGATGCTAATGTCTGGGAAAAGAATGTGTCGTACTTCACAAAGTGCAAACTCATGGACACCATTTCTCAGCCATCGATTGATTTCTGGGCGCCACTTCACCGACTTCACCGACTTCCGGCGGCGTCTTTCTGAGACCCGCGCCAGCAGGTCCAGGGGTCGCGACAAGCTCTCCTCCGCCTCACGTGAGTGACCATCCCGATGTAAATCGAATGGTCTACCCAAATGCTCTACCCAAATGGTCTACTCAAATCTGCACAATGGTCTACCCAAATCCACAAGGAAAATCCGGTAAATCAAGTGGTCTACCCGAATCCATGCAAGTCACTTGAGTCTACCCAAATCACTTGTAAGTGGATCTCTGGTAATTTGGGGTACACTTCCATAAAACTCCGCCTCACTTGGGTGACAATCTACCCAAATCCATGTAAGGAAATACAAAGGGGGCCCCAGCTACTTCCGGCGGCTGTCCCTTGCGAACCAACAAATCTACCCGGGTTTTGCTTGCACTTCAAGCCGGACCCTCGCATTCACAAAGCCAATGGCTTGATTGGCAGGCCCAGCCCCGAACTCCCGAGTTCGCGGCCCACTGCCCCTGGTAGGTCCCAGATATGGGATCCAACCTGGACGGGGCGAGTGAGGCATCCATTGGGTTGTCCCTGACTGGCAACGCTCCGGTGATCAGGCAGTCATGTCATGGGCAATACATGCCGATGCCGGTGCCTGGCATCCAATTGGACCTGAGCTGACAACATGTGTACCTGGACATGGACCAGTGCCAATAAAAAAGTGCCTCGCAAGAAATCGCTTCTACAATCTAGCTCTCCCAAATATATATATATATATATAATGTATGTGCATATATATATATACATGTGTATATATATATATATAATTCAGCACTGTCTAGCACTTTCAGTATTGATACCCGACCCGTGCTTATGTGTCAGTGAAGCGAATTTGTCACTCAGCTTCTCAGCCCAGGGCCCAGTTTGGCTGAGCTCTATGACAACATCCGCGCTGCGAATGCAGCCACCTCGGAGCCAAGGATGGCTCCGAAGAAATGATCGGCGGCGCATGCTGGTGGTCCTTTTGGCGTTCCCTTTACCCTCTCTCCAACAATCATAGAAGTGCACAAACAGGTTGCCCAAAAGGAAAATAGTCTTCCAACACCCTCCTGTCAGCTTCCATGATTGTTGGAGGGAGAGTAACAACCACAGAAGAAGGGTACCAACTCTAAAAATGGCGAGTCTATGAGGAGTGACTTAAGATGGTCCCTGGCGCTTCATGTGGCATGCAGCATGGAGACTCGCATAGGTGCGCGACCCTGAGTCCACGAAAAATCCGGGGAAGCTCAGGGGGAAAATGCCTCGCATCGGCGTTCAACGGCCCTTGCGGACAAACTTCGGCTTCAAAAGGACGGAGGTGTTTTGCTTTTCTCCCAGATTCCTGGGCAAAAAAGCAACTCGGGGGAGCTTCAACATCTGAGACACCAAGCACTTTCAGCATTTTCAGGTTGAGGACAGCTGCTGCAAAATCCAAAGATTCGCTTTCTTGAGTCACGGAATCAAAGATGCTGAGCAATGCGCAGCTGAAGGCATCAGCATCGGCCTTCCAAAACGGTCATAAGTGAGGGAACCGGCATCAACTGCTCGGATTAGGGCAAGTGGCACGTGCTGAGCCTAAGTACTGTGGGATTCTTAAATGCTGGCCTCATTATTTTACCATGATCAAAGTCACCCCCTAAGTGATGGGTTAAAGGGAAACAACCCCATTCTCTGACTTTGATCACCCCTAGAAACGGTCAAATCATGACCCCAGAAATAGTCGGTGCTTGGCATTCGCCGGACCATCGGATCGCACCCTTCCGCCGTATGGTTTTTGGCGGATGGCGCTCAGAAGCAAACCATGTCCATGACAATATGGCCGTGGGTCAACACCAATGGTACCTGTTGGGGTTGGTGAATTCACCACCCATTTTGGGCTTCCTATTCTAGTGGTTGGATTGAATCGGATGGTTTTTAACTGGGGGTACGGGCTTTGGGTTTTGACCCATAGCCATATCTATCTGTTTGTAGTCTTCATAGTCAGGATACCTTGCTGCACTTTCATCTTCATGTTCAGCCCAGACTAAAGCGAAATCGGGCAGGGGCGTGTTGACAGCATCAACGCCACGCAATGTGCGACACCGTGTGTCACTGGCGCCAGGCCTCCACCCGAGATTGCATCATCAGGCCTTCCCAACCTGCCGGCCATTCAGCTCTCAGGCAGACCTCTCCACTATTAGCCGCCCACGGCGTTGGTCGGGGCCATGGGGCCATGGGGCGATCGGGCGATCGGAGAGCACCCCTCAAGCCTGGCTTGGTCTGGATGCTGGCCTGCCGCAGCGGCCTCAAGTGCCGCCCAGGCAATCGGCGAGCAGGGCTGTGCCAATGGATTGCACGACTCCAGGAATAGGTGTCGTTTTTTGGAAAAAATAGATGGGTTTCCCTGGTAGTTGATTGAACCACCAGGTAAACCAGGAAACCCCTCTATTTTTCAACCAAATCAACCAAAAAGGACACCTATGACTCCAGCGCATTTGGTGCTGGCACCAGAGAAATTGCAAGGGATCAAGTGCTACCACAAAGGTCAGCAGCGCTTGCCACACATGCCGACGTTGAGAATATCTTGCAGCTTCTGAATCCTCAAGTGGCTACGGGTCAAAACCCAAAGCCCGTCCCCCCAGGTAAACCATCCGATTCAAACCAACCACTAAAATAGGAAACCCAAAATGGGGGGTGAATTCACCTACCAACCAAAATGGAATCCCAAAACGGTGTTGACCACGGCGAAGTCTCTCCTCATTTGTTCACTCCAGGGCCGGCTTGCCGCACTGGGGAGCCCGAGCGCAGCAAGGAAGAGCAGAGGCACCGCCCAAAGCTGCGCGGCAGTTGGCTATCAAAACCCCGGTACCCCGAAAAACACCCAGAAAGCCTTCTAAGACAGTGGAGTGATAGCCATCCCCATTTTTGGCACCTTAGGTTTTGACCCACGACCAGTTGCTTTTTCTTGGCAAAAAACGCGGCGAAGTAAAAGGAACTCCCCCGAGCGCCATTCAATCACCTCTCATTTGCAAAAGGGATGCTGTCCCCGTTGTCGAAATCAGGGGATGCCTACAGGCAGCACAGCCAGCACGAATAAATTTGCAAGGAAGGCAGGCCACATTGTCTAGTTGCTCACCTGGCAAACATGAAGAATCTGGCGCACTGAATTGACGCTCCATTTGATCCACCATCTTTTTTGGTCTAACCATAGAACTTGCCCTAAACAGGGTTCTACCTTTTGACTACCCCAAGGTAGACTTAAACCTAGGGGTTTTGCTTTTAGGGAAATCAACCGCCTCTGGGTTTAACTCTTGTTGGGGGGGTAGTCAAAAGGTAGAACCCTGGCCCAAATACCCTGCCTGGCTCAGCTTGCTGCTCCCAAACTTGCTGGCAGCCTCCGGCAAACCATCAGCCGGTTGCGCTCAATGCCCCCCGCTTCTCCAGGTTCGAAAAGTGAGAAGGGAGAAACTGATCGTGACATGGCCATGGGTCAAAGCCCAAATCGTGCCAAGTGAAAACCATCCGGTTCACCTACCAACATGGGATCCCAAACCGGCTTTGACAACGGCCACATCAACGATTGCGCCAGGCAAGCCGACCCCAACGTCTGATCTCTGGAGCCGTTTCGCGAAGCCCAGTTGCAAGTAGCCGAACCTTGCCATGCAACCCACTTTCCGGAGTGCGGAGGTGTTTTGAAGCAAAAAAAGAAGAACTCTGTAGGGCAATTCTTCAATTCCCAACCATCCTGCACTTGCAACTACCTGACAGATGGCGGCCCCTTTCGCAGAAAATCCCGCGTTGCTACAAAAAAGGCTACGGACTCCAAAGAAAAGGAG